AATTTCAACTTCCTTACTCTACCTTAAATCATTCTTGATATAAGCTCCCCTCATCAATTACAATAGCTTCTTTATCTTTCCTTAGTATCTCCTACCTGCAACCCATGGTCCACACTGCCCAACATCATTCTAAACTGTTCATTTGTCCGGGCCATACCATGATTTAAATATTTGTAATGATTTTTATCATGTAAAAAATTATGTTCAAACTCTTTATAATGAGTTTGAGTACAAAGTCTTTGCTGATCTTTCCCTTGCTATCTCTCTGTCACCATGCAGGCATGCCATCACTGGTTCAAATGATCTCTGCCACTCGACTAGGAACTCCTTGAAAACACAGACTATGCTATTCCTCTTTGTACACTGGTGTAAGGCAGTGACTAGCACATAGTAGGCCTTCATAAATTTTTGTTAAACCAATTATATATCTAAATATATACCTTCAAAGTAGTATAAAAATTAACCTGTTGATATGGGAACACTGCTATTTTATGGATCATACTATTACTGACAGATTGAAAACCAGTAGCTTAGGTGACCTAAGTTTCTTCATCAGGCTTACCAAACTTGAAAGTTCCTGCAATGTCTCAATCAAGAGTTGCTTAGTTGCTTTGAACAAGGCAACAAGACCCTAGTCTCACCAGTCACCAATCCAAATAGCTTACTCTCTACCCCAAAGTAGTATTTGGGCCTATGCTGTCTTCCTTAAGAACTTTCCTTTTCCAGAAGTCACTGTCCCTTAAAGGGTACTCTTCTAAAATCACAGCTCTTGAAAATTTTCTCTATTGTTGTATTTCTTACATCATTTTTGTTTTATTACAGAAAATTACACTGATACTACATTTCAATAAAAACTAACCAGCTGCCAGCAATTCAGTAAGATTCTTCCATCATAATCTCTTCCCAGTCCCCTCTCATCTCTACCCCAAATAGAAAGTTTAGAAGCAGTCACTATAAAATCAATACTTGTAGACACAGCAGTTTGATGATTATTGGAGCTACACACTAGCCGGACTACCACTAGAAATTCAACCTAGCTATAGTACCCCCTTCTGGTTGAGACAATCTTCTAACCCATGATTATTAACCATCAGAAAAAATGATTGGCTTTTTTCCTTTATTCTGGAACAACGATTTTCAAAGAGCACTCAAACCACTGAAGAGCTGCTAACAACCTAAAATGGAAAAGAAAAACAGTGGCCTTGCAATGGATGACACTGATTGGGAAAAGAAACAGATATCTCCGTTGACATTCTGATGAAGTCTTCAGGAGCTGCCTACTGACAATCACAGCAGTAGAAAGTGTCAAGGGGGCATTCCTTGCTGTAGGAAGTGTTGGGCAGACAGGGGCTCATTGGAAACAGGAAGTCTCACAAGTATCTCTTCAATCCTACTGTGCTCCCGAAAGAAGATGAAATTTGTTTCTGAAGACTTCATCAGAAACTTGCAGTTGCCTCAAATACAGTGTATGTACAAATTTCACTTGTAAAATATATTCCCCTGGAAATGAGTTGGGTGCTTTAAACATAAATCAAATGTTGATTAGTGAGTTCGAAAATGTAACAAACAATCATTTTCCAGAAAGAAAAAATACATACATATTCAGCTACCTTGTATGGCTCCCCAAAAAGATCAAAGCCTGAAGAAAAGAGATCGTCTTCTTGCTGGACTTCTTGATTCCTCCGTTCCCATTCCCTTTTTTTAAGTGCACTACGGTCTTGTTCATAGTGACTGATATGAAAAGGAAAAGACAAAAAGAGAAAAAGATAAATTAATCATGCGAATCATTTAAATTTTTGTTGTTGTCAATAATAAAAAAAAAAAAATTCAAGTCAACTTGCTGCCCAAGCTGACACTACATAGAGAGCAGATAATCCTTTTCATTACACCTATTGAGTTTAAGATCCTGACCAGCTCTTCAGAACAAAGACGAAAACAAAAACTTGCTTATCTGAAATTACATTCATGACAAGCAAGTAAAGCAAAATTCTCTTCCCTTGTCCTTGTTTGATTATTATAAGTAATTACATACTCCCCAAAAGTCAGTCCACAGTGCAGAAAGGTACTAAATTAAAGTTACATTGTGTTGCCAACTACCTAGGGCTCAGAATCCACAGATGTCACAAAGTCCTAAGAGAAAAGAATTATCAAAGTATGGAGCTGCAGATAAACTGGAATTCTGTCCTGAGCCCATAGACAAAGTGAGCCTGTTTTAATGAACTCACAGGAGAATTTAAGGACATTTTCGGAAGTCCACAGAAAAATAAATAACCAAATCACCTACACTTCTTTTTGTTTGGTTGTTGTGGTATTGGTCTTCTTATAGTTTTCTTCAAAGGTGAATGGAAGCCTTTTTGAGAAACTCTTCACAAAAAAAAGGGGGTCTGACTTGAATAACAAATGACTAGCTGTAGATAAAAAAAAAGGAGGTGTCGAAAGCCTTTAATGACCTCGATGAACAAATGCTTTACAAAGACTGTGACTCTCATCACATTTCAGGCTTTCCCATTGGAGGATCAAAAGCTCCTAAACAACATTTAAGATATATTCCAGGCCTTTAGGTATTATGGAATGGAATGCTTCCTTACTAAGAAAACAATTATTTTCTTCATCATGCAAGACTGCAAATTAAACCATAATTGTAAGTCTTGTAGCGGTGTATTTTATTTTATTCATTGGGTTTTTTTCATGCTTTTGATGTTAACCTTACCCAACGTGAGTACATACACACTGGGCAAATTTAAGTTACATAAATGTACATAAAATGCCTAGCAGGTGTTGGATAAATATTGGTTTCCTTCCCCATGTTAATATTCCCATGTTAAGACTTAATTAGATAATTGACATGCAAATGAACATAATAGCTAAAGGAATTACAAGAGATCTACTGATATAAGAGTACAGTTGACAGGCTTTGACTATATCCGAAACTTTAATATCTGTCATTGGTAGGCTAGTTTGCTCAAAGTATCATAAATTTAATTTACAAAGTAAGAACCTAGAACATAAACTATCTGTGCAGCTTAACTGGATGTTGATAAACATGGAGTGTACAATGCCACTACACTTAATCATCCACTTTTCTTCACAAGAATCCTTGAGGTCAAATTCAAAGTGACTTTGATAACTTCATCTCCTAGATAAAGAAAACTCATTTCTCCATTAAAAAACAGCGACAACATTTATAGGATGTTTAAATGCACATTACACTTTCATAATACAAACAACGTCAGATAGATTAAAGCTCACTGGGCCATTCATGAGTATATTCAACAAATGTTATCACTGTCTGAGCAAAGCAAACAAAACCTTCAGAGTCCTACCCAAAGCCAGGGCCCCACATCTAGGCCTCACCTGGTCAAGGAAGATGTCAAGTCCAGATACTGGAAGGCAGCCTATCATTTGTAGTCTCAGATGCCCTCCATAGGTATTAGATTTTCTAGCATCATCTTTCATTTCCATTCACAAGTTGAACTCAGTATCCCAAACAATTGCTGTGTGTCTCAATGTCTCCATGTTTGAGACTGACATGGAACTAATCAGGCACAATAACATCTTCAGTCCGTTAAGTGTGGCGTTTGTGACTACCTCAGCACCATACATTGGCTGTGTGTAATCCAATCCCATAAATTTGTCCAAATGTAAGAAAGATTGGGTGTTAGGGTGAGGGTAGAGTAACAAGTTAAAGCAATATTTAGTGAGGGCGGAGTTGTTGCAAAGGAGAAGGACACTTAATTTCTCTGCTTTCCATAGCAGATTAGTATCTATACACAAACAAGAACCAAAGTCTTTTCCTTCTGAGTAATGCAAGCAGGATGTCAGTTTTCTAGCTATCTGTTCATTTTGTGCACCTGACAGCTCAGAATGACAGGCCCATAGATCACATTTAATTCTCCCATGAAGAGAACTGAAGTGCTTTGGTCTCTTGGCTTTGCAAACTACTTTCCTTCTCCTCTGAGGGAAAGATATAATTAAAACCCTGAAGGAAAAAGAAAGGAGAAGAAGAAAAGGAAACGTGCTTCAACTTGCATGACAACCTTTCAAACGACCAGCAGTAAGAGCACTTTCGGTGCTTTGGCCCTGGCTTTGATTTGTTAGGAGGCTCTTGGCTGCATTTTGCATCAGTTCATTAGCTACCAAATTCCAGACACAAATTTGAATAGCAGATTGAGTGTGCACGCGGGTGTTATCCGTTGCAAGCAAAACTGCCTGCTGCATTTTTTAACACATCCAACAAAGAACAGTTAATTCTCATATCTCTGGCGAGAATGAATTTAATCTCCACAGAGCTCCACTGCTCTTGGAAGGCAACCAAATATCTCCAACTTTTTCCTTTCTTGCTCAGCATGGCGTTGTATTGAAGGCTTCACACAGAGAGGTCTAATGAGTAATGAACTACATGGTGATGAGGCTTTCAGTTTATAATGTCACTGATTTCTGACTGAAACCAACATTACTAATTTGAAGCACCAGCTAATTAAAACCACAGCTATGTATTTAGCCTCTTGTTATACCTACTGTAGTTTATAATTATGAGGACCTCTTTATCTACTCAATTAAATTTCTTATGATTCGGGCAGGTTGTGTTTGAACCTGTGAGCCCTGCAGAGGCTACAGGAAAGTATATGTCTGTCCCCTGATAATTCGATATATCTTTACACACCCAGGCCTGCTTTCCAAAGGAAAAAGAGCTCCATAGCCCACAGAGAAATGCTCAAGCCAAAAACCTGAATTAATCATCATACCATTGGCATGAACAATTCAAGTTTCTTCTCAGTGATGAAGACAGGACGAATTGATCC